TTAAGTTAAACTAGTACTTAACATTGTCACTGAGATGGACATAAAATTTAAGAAATACGACATGAGGAATTGGGATTAAAATAGTCTGATCTAAAAGAATGTAGTTAACTAAAAATCATTTGGATTTTATAAATAGCTTAACTACAGCAATAAACCAGGTATTGGAGATGACACTCTGAACCAAATCAGCATGCTAATTTCTCCAAATTGCTCTTCTTATGGGGCTCAAGTACCAGCAACAAGTAGAACCCCTGAAATCTAATGTGCTGCATCTCTTAAATCAAGCAAAATTTCAAAAATCCTCTTTACATGCAGCTTTTATTAAAGGTACAGGCACAAAACTGCAGCTTGCAGCTATATTTTACAATCTATTTTTGTACGACACTAAAATTAACATAAATTAGCCCCCTTAGCAGTAAATTAGTTACTAAATAAGTTTTGTTTAAATCTGCAATGACAGTATTTTTGTGCAAATACATTTTCTAAACAACTAATCCAATGGAAAGCCATCATGCTGCATACGATTGTATTTTTAGTAGCAAAATATCTCACTGTTTGGCAGTAGTTTTACACCAACATGTAGGGAAAAAAATCCAAATACAAGCTTGTTTTTAACCAATTAACCCTTTGCTTACCAGTTGAATCATCAATATATTAATTTAACAAAGTTTGTGTGGTTTAAAATAGTCAAAATAAAAGTACTCCGACTGGAGATTAAGAAGCCAGAACGAGAAATTAAAATAGTGAAATTAAAGTTTAAAGGCGTTTACAGTATGTGCAGGAAGGATTTTTGCATTGAAAGAGAAAGCAGCTGTCCAGTTAGTGATGTGTTCTTTTCCCTAAAAGCAGTTAACAGCAGTTACACTGTAGTTATAAGCATCCCTGGGCTTTGCCCACTAGTGATGTCAGAAAAGTTTTACGGGTTCGCATTGAAGGTCATTAACACGCCAAACAAATGGCCGTTTTGTGCATATGAAGGCCTATTTACGAAGAGATACATGGCAATATTTATAGGGCCGTCAGCCACCAGGGACCATAGCGCTGATAGCAGTAAAGCTGACAGAATTCCTACCAGGATGACATCAATTCATAGCGAGTATTTAAATGATACTCTAAACTGGGGCGTAAATACTGCACACAATGCAAGAACACCAGTTTCATTATTTTAAGTGTGTGATCTTTACATGCAAATGTCATTTTGGGTGGGGAGGGGGGGGTAAACTGTTATATGCAAAATGTAGCATCTCTCGGGTGACAGGCTATATGAAGCTTGGATGTTGGGGGGGAAATTGCCTAGGAGGCCAAAATTAGATTTGAGGGGGAAAAAAAAAAAAAAAAAAAAAAACACAAAAAACACACCACTTCAGAAGAGCAAAGTCATACACGAATTGTAGATAATAAACGGCCTATGTCCAAAAGTAATTATTTTTTTGCACCTCTGCGGGAAAAGGCTGTAATTTTTCTTTTTATCAATACATCAGTGTGGTTCCTTTAATGTGGCTTCTCTTTACTAAGTGTTGTGCAGACACTTAACAACCATCAAGTGAGATGCAGATAGGATCTTTGTCCAAGCTCTTTGTACAGAATAAACACCCAAATACGCAAAACTAGCACTTTGAAGGAAATTCCTGCCAAGATAATTACCCAAGAAAATAAGGCTGAATCCAATGTGTATTACATTTAAGTTAGAGCATCTACACGTCACCCCTCAGGTACCGTGGGGAGAAAACAAGATTAAGGTTCACCAAAAAATGCCCAGGATCAGAACTCTGAAAAGACACCAGCATTAATTATACAGGTGATCTGAGACATGGATCTTTCTCATTAACCTCAGATTCTTACAGTTTCACTTTCAAATAGGTTTAAGTGTTTCTTTCCCCCCCTTTTTAAATTTTAGAAAATTAAGGTGAGCACTGCCACAAAGGAAAAAAAAAAAAAAGAAAAAAAAAAACTAGCACAATTTGCTTTCTGATATAATAATTCACGCAATTTTTTCCTGATAAATTTCCTAATCACCTGCATCCTGCACAGACAAAGGCTCCTGGGGAAGCTGCTGATAATGAATTTTTAAGACCACCGTGTAAAAACGAAAATAATTCAGCAGCTCAGCCACAAATTCACCATATTAGCAAGCTCGTAAGTCGAAAGTGCACTGCGATACACGTGTAAAAGTATTATAAATTAAGCTAATAGGTTTTTCCTCAAACGTTTGTTTCACAAACTACACTATAGGTCAACAGCAAAATTCCTGGTACAAGTACAGGAGATTTGAGCAGCTGGGTAGAAGATGTTCCAGGTAGCAATGCTGTAATGGCAATTTTACAGTACACCCAACAGCAATCCATTCTGAAACTGTGCATCATCACGCCATTCATCCACCTAAGAAACACTGCTGATCACTGCCATTTCAATTAAAAAACAACCCATAAATTCTAGCCTAGAATAGCCATTACTACCCCCCCCCAGAAAAATTCACACAAATCCCCACAATTGTACCACATTAGTTCCCATACCACTCTGCTAGGGCGTAATAGTGGTTAGTGGCCACATATTTCCAAAGCATGTTATTACCAATTTTAACATATAGATTCATACAGATTAATGCTCTAAATATTAAAATCTGCCATTTAAAATTCCCTACATCATGCGTTAGCAGCATCATCATGGGTAATAATCATGTATTATAATAAATTACAACAATTACATTATTTACCAGAATCATAAAACAAATCATTTTACGAAACTACAGGATAAGAAAAATTTATGTGGTTGCATGTGTCACATTAACAGATCCAGTTAAGTACCTTTATAGAAAAAAGAAAAGCAGACATTTAATTATTTGGCTGGAAAGCCATCTCCTTTCAGCCAATATATAACCACAATATACACTCAGCGGACAGTTTATTAGGTACACCTGCTTCTTAATACAGAACATCCGGCTCCTTCAAATAGTGAATCATGTGGCTGCCACTAAATACATAAAGCACACAGGCTGGGTCAGGAGCTTCAGGTACCGTGTGGCTAAGATGGCCAAGATACGCAGTCCAAGCAATTTTGAACACGGCGTGACTGTTGGGGCCAGATGTGGCAGTTCCAGCATCTCAGAAAAAGCACCCCCCATCCCCCCCCGGGATTTTCACACGCAACAGTACGTATAGTTTACAGAGTATGGTGCGATAATAAAAAATAAATAAATAAAACACATTCAGTCAGCGACAGCTCTGCGGCTGAAAACACCTTGTTAATGAGAGAGGTCAGAGGAAAACGGCCAGACTCATTAAAGCTAACAGGAAGGCCAATAGTGCAAAAATAACAGCTCAGTATGGAACCAAAAGCTGCCGCCTAACGCACAACTCGTTTATCCTTGAAGGGGTTCCTGCAGCAGTAATGAGTCCAACCCAGTACTAGCAAGCGCTACGTAAAATTGTTGCCATTATGATGTGTAAACTTTAGTCAACGCAGTGGTTTAATGCTTAGTGCATTCTCTTCGGACCTGGCTAACAGAATATGCAAACACAATATGAATAATGTGCAAAAATAGCTCCTGTATTTCACAAAGGATACCTTTTAACATTGATATTAGATTTACAGCTTGAAGTACAGCATTAAAGATTTGCAGACAAACAGTAACTCTACTCTGTCCTCAAGGTTTGGCTGCTCACCAGCACTACTACTCTCAGCTCAAACCAATATTGAGCTTGTGCCTATAAATTCATGACAGAAAAGGGAATAAACCACTGAGAAGAAAGAAAAAATTATCATAGAAATGGCCGTTAAGACTTGTGGTGTTTCTGTTTGTTTGAAAGGTCCAAGAAACAACATTTACAAAAAACTGACCCATTTCATGAGTGCGCAAGTTCACTTCAAAGTACCACAGACACAAGACAGTTTGTGATAAAATATAATCAATAACCAAACAAAACAGTTCTGATAAAATACACGGTCATCACATACAAATAAACAAACAAATAAAAGACATTCTAAAGTTTAAACAAAATAAAAATGCCCTCCGTAATATATACTTTAAATTAAAATGCATAGTGGGCTTCGTAAATCAGAATTAAACACCATTTAAATGTTCAATTAAAATAAATGGACTCGTATCGCACTGACAAACACTAGCAGACAAGGAACAGTTTATGATTAATGCAACACAGCAGAGACGGGAAAACAAACAGTGACATTTAATCGTCCTGTGTATAAAGTCAAGGTAAGAACAAAAACAAATAAACTGCAATTAATGACTGCTGAAACTGGGTGTAACATTTTCGCTTGTCAATTCGAGAAGGGGGGGTTACAAAGAACCAGTTTTGAAATTACTGGTTAACAAAATATCAAAACATTTTAATTTCTCTGTACAGTTCAGTAAAAAAAGGCTACTATATGGTTAATATGATGAGATGTTGTAACAGATGTTGAGAACCGGTGTGTTGCGACTGATGAGGCAGCCTCTTCTTAATATGATGCACAGTTTGCACAATCGAACTTCCTTTAAATGTTTAACGGTGTCCCATTATCCTTCTGGCTATGCACTTACTGAACTTCAATTAGATCAGATGAGGGACGTTAGTGCGACTAGCGACAGCGGAGCAAACCAGTGTTATGCATTCGGCGTTTTCAGGAAAAGCTTAACAGTAATAACATTCATAAACGATGACACTGCGATCAGACACTCGCCTCTCCCTAATGCTAACTTATTATAGCCCCCAGCTTTACGTATTACTCTGTTAGTCAAGAAACAAGAAATTGTTCGGCTGAAATTTAGAGAGCTTACTCCGCTCCCACTCCCCCAGTCCGAGCGCATGCGCAGAGCGGCTAATCGCGCACACACCATATGCTGCTCAAGGGATGACAACACGCAGTCACTGCTCAGTCGCCTCTCTATTCCTGTCACCATCGCGTACCAGAAAGGCAATCCATAAAGCCCCCCAAAAAGCCACAAAAGTAGCCGCAGCGGCTGCATGCATGTCAGCGCCGTTACGGTCCCCCGGTCCTCTTACCTCACCGGTCGCCGCGAGCCTCAAGCCCCTGTGTCCGTCCTTGTTCGCTTAAAAACCCGGAGCGCTTCTCCGCTTCACAGTCAACGACGTTTCATTATATACCAAAGAAAAAGTACAGAGCTTGGATATTTCTAAAGTACCTCCCTAATACAAACCAGGGGCCGTCAGAGGATGCGTACAACTACTCGATCACAGCGATAAAGTGAATAGGGACCGGCAGATGGTACGGAGATCCATACTGCCGACAGCAAACGCCTGCTATTCAAGTACAAGCGACTGTCTAATCACACACTCTATGAAGCCGTTTTAGTCCTGATTTTGCTCCTCCCCTCTTTTACGCCTCCCAATTTGTCGGGCCGTATAGCGCCCCGCATTCTCCAAGCCGGGGAACTGCAATCGTGCTGTCGGATTTCACGGATAGAAATAACACCGTAATTTATAAATTATAATCTCCAAGAGTTATGCCCGCAGTGGGAGCGCACTATCCGATAACGCAATTACACGCAGAAGCCCGGATACGCATTACTTCCTTATACAAAACCTGAACAATGATTTATAATATGCAGGATATTTTGGCCGGTGTTTTCATTGAATTAAAGTGACTACCCCTGGCACAGTGTAAGAGTATATCACCTCTGACAGTCATGGTTTCGGATTTTGTGCCTACCGTTTAAACTTATATCCAACTCACATCCGATTTTTTACTGCATGAGCCATGCAATACTGACAGCTAATTCAAGACATCCCATCTTATAATTTGATTTTGGTGTAACATTGTTACGTTTATTAAATTAAGGTGGAATCATTGTACCTTTTTAAAGAATCTTGAGTTGATTCAGCATTAATATTGTCTTGCATCAGTGTTGCTTTTTACACTAGTTTCTTTCATAGCAGTGAATAAATAGCCGTATGTACTAAATACTACATATAAATTGATTTCAGAGTGAACCCCAAGACAAAGTGAACTCGGATCTGCCTAAATTGTTTTGACGCATTTTTTCTACATTAAATAACTTTGGCTATAATATTTCCAAGTCTAATTATGTTAATTTAATCGCAAAAGGGTGTGGGGTCACTAAATATTATGCCACCATGGATTAAAGAAACATAAAAATTGGACATAACCCTAACGCTGCATTTTCAGATACTGTGCACAGTTGTTTAGGTTGGGGTTGTCTGTTTTTGGCATACGACATTACGGGGTTAGAAGATCAAGTTGTTTGTTTCTGCGGCAAAGAAATGCCTAAATAGCAAATATGCAAATGTAACTGATCCACATTTAATTAACCAGAAAAATTTTAGGTTCCATGCAACTGAAATATCTATACTATTGAAATATCCATAATTTTGACTTCACTAAAGGTGCTGTAGATATAGGGAGTGGTTTTCCTCAGAACGTTTTGGTAGGCAATATATTATTTCGTAGTGAATATAGCACACAGATTGGGTTAACTTTGAGAAAACACAGCTAATTAAATTACATTTACACAACATAATTGGGTGTGAATAGTAAATGAGTTTAACATAATCAGAATTAATATACAATGTAAAGTTGTTCATCTTGACAAAGCAAATATTTAATTTAATTCATTCAACAGTTCCAAGTTTATTTGTTTCTTCCCTTTTATTGCTGCTGTTTAAGCAACTTCAACAGTAGTTGGTATTGACCATATTCAAAAGTGTATAAACTCAAACTTTATTCATTTGCAGACACACATACTTAAAGTTAACAAATGCATCTAGTTAACACATTAATGTTATATTACGTATATTAAAGGCTTGCCACTTTATTTTGGGCCTAAATAATGATGTTGTTGTTTTTAAATATCAACATGTATGGATTGTGGTAACCAGTGTGAATGACAGTTTTTCTGCTTAGCCAGGGATTTGTGTTGATGAATGCATTACCCTGTTTTGTTTGAAGGTACAGCATGTAAAACACTGTAAAGTCAACCCAGTATATTTGTGATGGCAAAAAACAAACAAATAAGCAAACAAAAAATCCATTGCGAGGCATTTAGTTTACACATATGAGTAATGTTTTACTGACACTAGATAAAAAATAATGTAATAATAATTGCAGAGGAAAAGTAATTTTATCATTGCTGAAAATTAATTATTTTCACCACAACTAACAGCAGCACATGAAAAGAACTGAAGTTTCAATGCTAAATTATAAAAATGTTTAAAGAAATGAGTTGAATAACTACATTATATCACATCCAAAATGTACAATAGTTTGCTGGGTCGCCAATGACACAGATGCGTGAATGACTAAATAAAATCTAAACGACGTTAACAGCAAAAAAAAATAAAACAAAATCTAGTAGCTGCTGTGTATTTACATGCAAACATTTTCAAACTGGCATTTGAATGGGTGTGTTTATCCTGCAAACACTGCCGGCGAGGAGCTAGGCAGAGTACAGACGAAGAGGAAGTGACACGCGGTGAGCGTTTCATTTCCATTCGTTAGGAGACAAGCAAAGAACAGGTGAACGATTCCCCGAATGTTAGCAGGGAGGCCATGGAGCGGCTCACACAGTCCCTGCCTTTGATGCTTCTGTGTGCCCTATTTTTAGAATGTGGTCCTTACCTCCTACTCATTGTACCTAAAGGCCAGTTATAAAAAAATTATGTTTTTCTAAAGCTCATAAAAGGGCTGCGGCGGTCAACACGCAATACATGAAACAAGGATGTATCAGTTAGCTTCCGATTTTACATTTTTATATAGTTTAGCAGGTGCTATTACCCAAAACCCATCCTGGGAGTAATGTTGGTTAAGGGCCTGGCTCAAGGACCTAATGGTAACATCACTCTACTGACCACACAATTTGAACCGGTGACCTTCCAATCACAGACAATCTCCTAACCTGCAGAGCGACACATTTCCTCTGGTTAACAGTAGGGGAAACTCTTTATTTTAGCGACTCGCATGTTAAGTGCACCAGATGATTTCTGACTGCTGGACTTAGCAACAAACAAAAAGCAAAGGATATATTTTCCACAAAAATTTTTAAATAAAGGTGCCACCCAGACATCTGAATTACACCACAATTTCAATGCCTGTCTTCTGTATTCTGCTTCATGAAATCCTATAATAAATCATTTTGCTATTTCAATGTGTTATCAATAAGTGCTTTTATATTCAACCTAAAATTACACCTGTCTGCTGTCTCAGAAATGATGGCACATGTCTGTCATACATATACACTTACAGCTGGAGTTTCTCGGCAATGAATACGCTCTTGTGCAGCCAACACACTTACTAAGTGCTTATAACACCATGGAAGCATTCAGGAGATAAAATATAGCTCAAGCGCGATGGCTCAAATCAAGCCAATAGTGCCACTCTGGTTAAGTAAGTACATGATAAAGTAGTCTAACATTCAACAAATTGAGGACATTTTTGAATTAATAATTCGCAAAATACATTTGTGAACACTTTTCTCCAAAGCGATAATTGAGAAAGCAGAGTCAGACCGTCCCAGGAGCGACTGAGGGTTAAGAGCCTCGCTCAAGGGCTCTACGGTGACATCACTCTGCTGACCACTGGTGACCTTCTGCACACGAGCACAGCAAGCTAACCTGGGGCCAAGCACCACCCCCACATGAAAACACACAAAACATGTAAATGTTGCTGAAAATAGTGCTATCGTTATTTTTGGTCGATTGTTAGAATAATATGACTTCCTGGGAAAGAGTCCAGATTCATTGTTATCCTGTGTTGGATAAGAGTGTATGGAAGAGGGATAGGTGGTTGAATATCGCTATAGCTAAATAGAGTAATTCAATCAAGTATGTTTATTTAATTTAATATATTTGTATTTTCACATTTAAGTGGTGTACTTATGATCCTTGTTCTTCAGTAAAAATACTCAAAATTAATTTGTAGCTTACACAATTCAGCATATTAATAAAAAAAAGACAATTTACCAAAAAAGGTGTATTTCAAAGTGACTTTGAGGTGAAAATACATAAATGCTGTGGAGGTCTCACCAAGATGCTCATCTCCTCTTAGCCATAACTGGAGCACCCAAGGATTCATTGAGCTATGCTGATAAGGGACATGGAATGAAGACACAGGAACAGAGGTCAGCACAATTAGCATTAGAAAGCCCCAGAGAGAGCAAGCTGTGTGTCCAGGCAAATCCTAAATTGCTTTACTCTACTGTGGATCTTCCATACACCAAAGCTATTGGAATGGAGCTGATGGACCTCGGCTCTATTTACTAATTAAAGTTTAATGTATCTGTTGAGCCACTGTTGCTTATTGTGGGGCGATACAGCCCATATACAGTGCTGTGACAAAGTCGCTGTCTTCCTCTTTTGCTTATCCATAATACCTAATTGTGTCTGACCCCAAAGATATTTAGCATAATACAAGGGGCAACACGAGTAAACAGCACTCAGTTTTTAACGATTGTTTGATTGATTGAAGGGAAAAAACAAATGTAGCAAAGCATGGCCTCACCATTGCACTTCCTCCACCCTGTTTAACTGTGGGCATGATTTTCTTTGTGTGGATAACGGTGTTAGCTGAGGTAGCAGGATCCACGTCTTCCCAATAGTTCATGCAGAATCATTAACTGACCTAAGAAATGCCGGCAGTTCCTTAGATGTTCATTTGGGGTCTGCTATGACCTCCCTGTTGAGTTTTCATGTGGCCTTGGAGTACTTCTGCTAGACCAGCCACTCCTGAGCAGATTTGTTACTGTCCCGGGTTTTTTTCCATTTGCTGATGATGGCTCTCACGGTGGTCTGCTGGAGTCCAAGCATTTTAGAGGATGCTTTGAAATATCAGTTGGGAAAAGGGTACAATTACTTTCATTCTCAGGCCTTCAGTAAATTCTTTTGATCGAGGCCTGGCGTGCTGCTGCTTCTTGCAACCCCGTATCCAACTCCATCCATTGCTGGAATGGTTCTATCTAAGACATGGGTAGGTTCAACCGGGCTGGCAGCAGTCAAGCTTGGGGGGAATCTACTTTCCTTTAACCCGTTATTATTTCGATTTTGTTCATTGTTTGATTGAGTGACTAATTGGGCAATTGCATTGGCACACAGGTGATATGGATGTTGGTGAATTATTTTTCCATCAGTGAAGCAAATGGCCATTTAAAACTTGTGCTTTGTGTTTGCACGGGTTGTCTTTTGTATTGTATTAAATGTGTTTGGGGATCAAATACAATTAAGTGTTATGAGAAAGAAAAAAGAAAAGGAATCAGGATGGGGTCTATCACGGTGATACAGTTAATTGCTATTAGTTTGTTTAAAACCTTCTTCCATA